TTATTAATGAACGAACAAAACAAAAATAATTTATTTCCAAGCTCCACATCAGGCAATTCGGGCAGCTTAATTAATTCCCAATCATCACCAACAACAGAAAGCCTTTCTTTTTTATTAAATGAATTTTTAAATAAAAATAATAATAATTTGGAAACTACAGAAATATCTGTACATCCTGTTGAGGCTTTGTGTTTTACTTGCAAAGTTCGGAATTTTTGTGAAATTTTTGAACAAAAAATTTTTTTTTAAAGATGTTAGCAATTTTGATTTATTCTGCTTTGAGTATTGTTGCCTTTGTTGGTAATGCTTTAATATTGGCTGTATTTCTTCGTTTCAAAAGACTCAGAACCCCAACAAATATGTTAATTGCTAATTTGGCACTTGGAGATTTAATGATTAGTATTTTCTGTATTCCTTTAAGTTATTGGCATGTTTTGGTTTTTGAAGATCAAAGATGGATTTTTGGGGCTTTTTTGTGTAAAACATTTAATTATTTACAGGTAAATTTAATGAAAAAATATTTTTTTTTGTAAAAAATAAAAAAATTGAAAATATGCCTGAAAATATCCCATAAAATCAACTGATTTTTATTGGGGTTTCTCAATTTTGTTATTAACTGTCAAAAATATTTTTGAATTATTTTTTAAAAATTACTCAACAATTTTTATCTAGGCAACAGCAGTATTTGTATCCTCTTGGACTTTAGTTGCCATTTCTTTTGATCGTTTTATGGCAATCCAATTTTCAATGTCCCCTTGGCTCAAAATGAATAGAAAAAGGGCTTTATATGCAACTTTAATTACTTGGGGATTTTCTTTAATTATGGCATTACCTTTACTTGTTGTTAATCAGGTAAAGAGAATGAAAGGGAAAGGGGAGGGAGGGAGATTAAAAATAATTTTTATTTATTTTTTTAGTTAGAAAGTTCATCAGAAGGTGTTGATACTTGCCTTGAAAAATGGAATGATTTTTTTTCTGATTCCTTTGTTTCTCTATATACTTCTTCACTTTTTGCTTTACAATATTGTTTACCTCTTTCTGTTTTGTTAATTACATATACAGCTATTGGATGTAAAATGTGGAATAGTAAAGTACCTGGAAATGATTGCCAAATATTACCCTCACAAGTAATTAATTTTAACAAATATATAAATTTATTTGGAATATTTATTGTGAAAAAAGGGAGAACGGAAGCTAAGAGGAAGTGATTTAAAGTAGATATTAGAGTTTCAGCGTAAGTTCCGGTTCCGGAAAGTTCCGTTGCTTTTTGGTTCCGGTTGAGGGAACCGGAACTCAAATTGGATCCGGTTCCGGTCAAAATTTCGGATCCGGTGAAACACTAATAAATATGAAGAGCTTATTAAAATTCTTATTTATATCCAAACAAATAAATCCATGTATATCTCAATCCTTCAAATATCCCCTTTTCGTAGCTGTTTATATTTTTCTTTTTTTTCCAAAAAATATAGGTATTTATTTTAATTTTTAAAGGAAACAACAACATTATTTAATTCTCTTTTAAATACAAAATCAGCAAGGGGTTCAACAATTAGTGCAGCTAATTTTAACATTTGTCCACAAAAACAATTATTAAAGAAAAGCCCTTCTTCTCAAATTGTTGGAAGTAATTCTAATAGAAGAAAAAGTTCTCATACAGTTGTGCATGCTAATGTTAGTCAAGAAAGGAAAGAATCTGTTAAAAAAGTAAATTAAATTGAAAAAAGAAAATAATTTAATTTTTATTTTAAAGTTAATTCCAATGGTTTTATTAGTTAGTGCTTTATATGCTGTTTGTTGGTTACCACAAAATTTATTAATGAATATTTGGGTAACATATGATTCAAGTGCACTCAATTATCCATATATTCTTTATATTTGGTAGGAATTTTATTATTTTTAAATAAATAAGTAGGAGGTTTGGACAACACCAGAAGAGAGGGGACCGGTCTAAATTAGAACCCCCTTTTCGAATAGCTATAGGAAGAAGGTGTTGGACAACACCAGAAGAGAGGGGACCGGTCTAAATTAGAACCCCCTTTTCGAATAGCTATAGGAAGAAGGTGTTGGACAACACCAGAAGAGAGGGGACCGGTCTAAATTAGAACCCCCTTTTCGAATAGCTATAGGAAGAAGGTGTTGGACAACACCAGAAGTGAGGGGACCGGTCTAGATTAGAACCAGTGATGCGGGGCTCCGGTTACGGAAGTGGAACCTGCAAATGTCCGGAACCGGTTTAGAACCGGTTCCAAAGATACACCCTTAATGATGGGTGAAAGAAGAAAAAGTGAGCTCAAGATGGAAGGTGTAAGAGGAAAAGGAAGAGAAAATTGATAAAAATTCCCTTAAAGACTTTTTTTTCAAAAATTATTTTCAGGTGGGGCGCCCATACTTTAGCAATGTTTCATTCAATAGTAAATCCATTTGTTTATTACGCAACAAATAGAAGAATCCACGCAGCCTTAAAACATTTACTTCGGTGGTTACCCTGTTTACAAAATGCAAGAAATGTTGCTTTAGCAGAATTTGATCAAACTGCTAGGCAAAAAGCTGTAACAAATTCTTTTAAATATCCAGTTGGTGATTCTAGAAGATTAACTTTACACACACAAAAAACTATTTCTTTAAGTATGGATTGAAATTGAAATGAAATTATTAATATATTTTGTGATTCTCTTTTTCCCCAACCTTTCAAACATGCATATACTTTGTTTGCCATAATTTTACAGCCAAATATTGCCTCAATTTTTTAATTTAAATAAAGTTTATATGTTTTTTAAATACATAAATTCATCTAAACAATTATTCTAATCGAGTCTTCTAAGAATATTTTTCTATTAATTAAGCTTAGAAATTAACAAACAATTATTATGACTAAGGCTGTGATAGTTAGGCAAGTAAAATCATTGAAATAGGCGCCTAAAATAGGCACCAAAAAGCCAAAAAAGGCACGAAAATAGGCAGGTAAAAAAGGTTATCTGCCTATAAAATTAAGATAAAAACAAGAAAATAGCCACTTATTCGTCGTTTTTTTACCATTTTGCCATTTATTCGCCATTTAAAATCATTTTTTGAACAAAAATGGTGTATTTTTTTAAAAATATCGATACCGTATTTATTCTAATAGAATGGCCGCCACTCTATTTTTCGATACCACCAAAAAGGGGCCATTCTATTGGAGGGGCCATTCTAATGGAGGTGGCCACTCTATTTTTCATAGGTAAAAATCAAAGATTTGATGAAGCTAATGTCCAATAGAATATTTTTCGACTTCGAAATTTAATCGATTTTTCTTGTAAAATTCTATGTTTTCGACTTTGGCTAGTGAATTTTCCTATTCGTATCACTATAAACTTAAGTTTGCCGGCTGGTAAAAAGGCAACTTTTGATTTAATCGGTGCTACACAAGTACAATTGGCTCTTAAAATTTATCGAGATCTTAGAATTTGGACGTAATTTATTGGAAACGGGAGAGATTTGGAGGGGATTGGTGAATTTGGAGGATATCGAAGGATTAATGAGTACTGAAAATTCTAAATTTTTAAAAATTTTAAAAATTTAGACTAAAGTTTTTAAAAAGATTAAAGAGTACTAAAACAATGAACTTTCAAAAATTCGAAAATTTTCGTATGGCTTCAAGGGATCCTGAAATTTCCAGAATTTTATCCCAAATCTCACTCAATCCATCATTATTCCTCAAAATCCTATGTCCCTGCAAGTCCTTTGATAAAATGAATGTATCCAACTAAGGTTGTCGGATAGTTGGAAATCTTCGGATATCCGGATCCGATATCCGTACCGGATCCGACAACCTTATATTTAACTTCCTTATATCGTCAAATTCATAAATATCTATTAATTCTCTTAATCCCTTGCGTCTTCATTAAATCGTTGTAATTTCTTGATATCCCTCCTAATCCTCTCAAATCCCCTAATATCCCCCTTAATCTCCCTTTTATGACTCCAGATTTGCTCGAAAATATTATGATTATCCTTACTAAAGAGTAATATTTAATACATAATAAGAAAATAAAGAAATGTATTCAGGCATATACTTAGTAGTTAAGAGGGCCATTCTATTGGAGGGCCATTCTAATGGAGGTGGCCATTCTATTTTTCATTACCCCCAAAAAGGGGCCATTCTATTGGAGGGGCCATTCTAATGGAGGGGCCATTTTATTAGAATAAATACGGTAATCGACAAAAAGCAAATCTCGCCCAACCCACAAAACGTCCCACCCCAAAATGCCACGCCGCCAAAATGTCTATTCTCAAAATGTCCAAGAGAGTAAAAATACTCAATTTGTCTAACTATAAATTAAAAATGGGAGTCCAAAATAGGCAAAAATAGGCATATTAAAAGTCATGCTATACTCTTCTGACCAAGCTAAAAACACGTTTTTTGAACGTTTTACATCATGCCAAGCTTGCAGAAAAAATAGGCATTTGCCTATAAATCACAGCCTTAATTATGACACATGTATTCAGGGTACAATCAAATACAATAATTTACCATAATAATTAATGAAACACAATATTTATATTATGACCTACAACAATAAGAATATTATTTACAACCCTACATACACATACAAATTTATCAACATTTTCCATTTTTTTATCTTCTTCCTTTCATTTCTTTTCCGGCGTATTAGAAGGTTCATTAGATTCTTTTTTCTTCTTCTCATCCTCTCCCGTCTTTGCCTCCTCTTTTGCCTTGTCCTTTGATTCTTCTTTAGACTCAACCTTCTTCTCATCGGTTTTGCCATCCTTTGAACCCTCAGCCCGTTTTTCATTCGAATCCGATTTAGCTGCTTTGTATTGTTCAATACTATCAACAGGGATTACTGGACTACCCCCTTCGTTGTCACTTGCAGCCGTAGAAGTCCCATTGACAACCTCGCCAGGGGTTGGTTCGTAGAGGCTTACTTGTTCAGAACGTGCCTGCATAGCAACTGCATATTCGTTTTCGTAGTGCTAATAATTTTTAATTATTTTTTTTGTTACAAAATTCTTTTATTTCTCACCTCACGCCTCCAAGCAGCAAAGTCCTTCTTCGCCCCGCCTCCAATTTCACCAACAGCATTCGGGCCGGGATCAGCAGTAATCCGAGTAACCTTTGTCGGCTGGTTCGAAACGCTTGGAGTTGGCGGATCTGGCTAAATTTTTTACAAATTTAAGTAAACTAAAGGGCAGGTTACTTTAAATTGACGAGCCAAATCGGTGTTTCTCCGCGGCTGGTATGTCTCTAGAATGTTCCTCACATCAAAGTAGGCCCTCTTGCGACGAGTCAAGGCATCAGAGAAGTAGGTGACCCACTGAAAATTTTTTAAGGAAATTGTTCTTTTATTCTGTTTTTGATTGCTTGCCTCATATCCAAAGAAAGCCAAGAACAAAGCCATCGGCAGGACTGCCAGTCGAACGATGAAGAACTCAGAAGTGGCCAATGCCTGAAGGATGCAAACAGCAGAGATCATGGTAGCCAAAGCGAGCACTGCAACCTCGAACCGATATTTACTGAAAAGTGGGTGAATTACTGTATAAAACAAAATTCAGAACAAAATTAAAAACTTTACCCCTTCGTCTTTGAATCGTCTTCAGGCGAACGTGGAGGAGAACCAGATGGCGCAGGAACCTGTTCGCTAGATGAAGACATTCTGAACGTGGAGTTTGCTTGTTGAGATGGCGAAACCAATTATGGTAGAACGACGGTAGAGAATTTGATAATGAAGATAATTTTTCTGGGGTGCTTATATAGACGGGGCTTTCAGATATGTTGTGATAGGTCTGGAAAAAATAGTATAAAGGCACCGATCATCTCTGGAGTTTATCATCAATCAACTACTTGGCATTTGATCGACTACTTTGCCTCTTCTACTTCTACGCCGTCCAACAACACGTTCTGCGACGACAAATATGGTGGACCGACGAGCAAGCTCCGGAAATGTAAGTTTTGCTCATTACCACTTTCTATCTTTTTAAACGTCTTTCATTTTTTTCTTACAGAAAGGGCGATCTGGCAGGAACAAACAAAGCAAACAAAAGTACGACACTGAAGGTGGCAGGCGTCAGAGTTCAGTCCTCAAGCGTCCGAGTGCACGTGCAACTGTTGATCGTCCGTCTCGTGGTGGTTCCGGTGGTGGTTCTGGCGATCCTCGTAGGCCCTCTACTCAATCAACAGGATCAACAGTCTCGCAGCATGCTACAGCAGCCCAACGCTGGTTTTACTGTGCGTTTTTGAGTTTATTTTGCACACTTTTCTTTCGCTCGCATACATAAATATGTATAATCATTTTCTAAACTATTACAGCTCTAGTGCGACATGGCGGCATCAGGCGCATACGGGAAAAGTTCGTCAACGATCTCGCAACCTACAGGTCAAAGCGTGTAACAACCAAGGCCTTTGACGACGATAGAAATTCTGAGCTCAACCGCTATCCAGATGTCGCTCTCATCGACCAAACGCGCGTTGTCCTGAGGGATGGACCTGAAGGTGAAATAATAAAAATAAAATAATTTTAGGAATAAAATAATTTTCATCTTTCTAGGTAGCGACTACGTGCACGCGTCAAAGGTGAAGGGCTCTGAGTTTCCGATGATTTGTGCTCAGGGTCCGATCGACGAATCCATTGCTAACTTCTGGACGATGGTTGTAGAGCAGAATTGCGGAGTGAGTTATTCGAAATAACCAGTTTTCTTTATAAAGCTGTTCCCTATTTATTTAAGGTCATCGTTCAGCTTTGCCAAAATCAAGAGGAAGGCCGTGAGAAGTGCGCAGACTACATCCCTGCCGAGCCAACGCTGTATGGGAACGCGACCGTATCTGTCAAGGAGTCAACCCATGCTACCGTAGCAAACCCAAGCGTGCACAGGACAGTTCTGGAGGCGTCACTTCCGAGCGGGCGGAGCGTTGAGGTCGTGCATTTTCTCTACGATGGATGGCCGGACCGCGACGTACCACTATCACCAGCAGCGTTTCGTCAGCTTCGCGGGACGGTCCAAAAGTTGGCAGTGGCACGAAAATGCTCTGTGCTGATCCATTGCAGTGCGGGAATTGGTCAGTTTTAGGGCTTGGGGCGATTAAAATTTTCGGTGTTTTTCCCTTTACAGGACGTACGGGAACATATGCAGCAATCGAGATGGCCTACAGGGACCTGATTGCCAACGACCGAGAAGTGCAAATGTCTACAATATTCCAGCGATTGCGGGACCAGAGGGCCCATGCCATCCAGACTGATTTGCAGGTGCATTTTAAATTTGAAAAGCCCTCTATGCTTTACAAAAAATTTTTTTAATTTTTCAGTACCTTTTTCTCCACCGTGCGCTGATTGACATTGCTGTGGAAAAAGGCCGACTGAACCGGGTAGACAAAGCGGGTGGCGTCGACGCGTTCATCAAAGAATACGAGGAACTGATCAAGAGGAAAAGAGAGGAGCGCAAAGAACTGGAACGGAAGCACAAGAGAAGACATGGACGAGATTAGTGATTGATATATACATGTACATATACTAGGCATTGTTCTTTGTCCCTTATATTCACATACATCTTGTGCCCGTCTGAGTTTTTTTTCTCACAATTGTTGTATTGCCTGATTATTTTTTGTAATGATTTTGTATGTAATTTTGCTTGATGTTTTTTTTCGCTGAATAAATAAATTTGTAAAATGGATTGTGTTCTTTATTTGTTTTTAGGTTTGAGTTTAGTATTTGATTTAGATAGGCAAGAATTTTGTTTGAATTTTTTAGGTAATTAGTCTAATTGACAAAACTGGAACATTTCTTTCGATCATACTTTGACTGTTTTCATTTGCCATTTTCGTCCAGATTTAAGTTTCTTTTTTCGCCATTTTCCAACAAAAAAGTGGGGCAAGACTATTTCTTTAGCCTGGACTTATTATGATGGCATTTTTGTCCAAACATAAATTATATCGTTCATTCAGTTTCCAACAAAAATTTGGAGTTAAAACTAAAAAAATTGAAAACTCTAGAAATATGGGAAGAGGGGGTTGGCCAACTCTAGAAGGACGGGACCGGTCTAGAATCTGGTCTAGAATTCTCATTCTAATAAGTTTACATTTTTTAGTGTTAGATATCTAATCTGATTGACAACAACCCTTCGATCATGCTTTGACTATTTTACTTGCCATTTTCGTTCAAATTCGAATTTTATTTTTACTTCATTTTCCAACAAAAAAGGGATTAAATCAGTTGAATTTTTAAATATAAAAAAATAAATATTCTCTTTAAATTCCTCAAAAAAAATTTTTTGAGTAAAAAAAGGCAATAAAAGCAAATTTATTTTGATTTTGTGGCAACAGGATTTACGTCTCTAGTAATTCAATTTGAATAGTTTTGGGATTCGTACATTCAAATGCCAAATTATTGTGTTAACTTTTAAAATATTTTCTTTATATAAATATATTTTTTTAGTTTTTAAAATGTCGTTGTTAAACAATTTCCTATTAATTTTGAGTTTGTTATATTTTGAATATTTTTGTTGTTATTTAATTCTGAATTTTTATTATAAAATATTATGAAAATTTTAAAAATATATGTATTCCCCTTTTTTCGTTAAAAAAATTCAAAGAAAGTTATTAAAATATCTAAATATGTATGAGTTAGAAATTAGTTGGGTTATTTAATAAATTTCTGAATTAAAAATCATATTAAAAATGTTGTCGATTTTATAAATTGTTTTAAAATTAAATAAATTCTTTTAATTTCTGCTAACAATTCTTTAACAAATTAACTCCTCTAATTAACTCCTATTCAGTTAATAATTTTAAAATTTTTCAGAATAAATAAAATTTTGGTGTTAATTACCTATGTTGTAAAGTAAATTATTAAAAATCAACAAAAATAATTTTTAAAGAAATGCCCCCTTTTTTAAATTCACAAAAAATTTTTAATTTAAATATTTATTTAAATAAATATAGGTACATATGTATTTCTTTAATAAACACAACAATTTTTCCCAGGCTCTCCTATTTCTATAGTTTTCTTTAAAAAAATAAAAGCGCAAGTTTTTAAAAAATATTTTTCTCAATTTATTTTTTAATAAATATACAAATTGCGTCAATTTTCCTTTAAGAAAAAAACATATTCGAACGTCTTCGTCTCCTTTTTTGCATTTACTTCCGTTTTTACAATTTTTCTTCAACAAAAATTTTTTGCCAAATCTTTTATAAAATAAAACACTTAATTTAGATGCCTTTTGTGTTTATGTATATGTTCTTCTTTTTTCTAGAAAAAATTTTTTGATGTTAAAATCTTCTTTTTTTTTACTTGTATATTTTTATTTATTTATTGGAATTCTTTTCATCGCCCCAATTCCCGCGAGGAATATTTTCTTAAAAATAAAGAAAAAAACCTCGAATATATTTACATCATTTTATTTAAAAAACATCACTTTTCTAAAATTAAAAAAAGCAAACGAACATTTTCGATTAAATATGAGAATATCTTTTTATTTATTTATTTAATTTTCAAATATTCCCACAAAATTTATTTTTGAAATTTGAACTCAATTTATTAAATTTTTGTTTAGTTAAAAAATCTTTTTTCTCATATTAACACAATTTGCATTTATTTTTTAAGAAAACAAAGCAGACGGAAATAAGAGCTGCAATTTATAATTAAAGTTTCTGTTTTCGAATTCGAACCTAATTCAAAGCAAATTTTTTGGGTTGATCTTAATCGGCTTTAGCAAATCTAAATGTTTTTGGGTTTTCATCTCGACTTAGAGTTTTTACTGTGGTCTAAAGATCAGCAAAATCGAGATCGGGATTCAAAAAACGGGGGAATCCCGCCCGATCCCGATCGGGATCCCGCTGAACTCTAATTTTGGCAACTAAAAATTTACTAGGGCAAAGCAAATAAATCAATTAAAATATATTAAAAATACTTTTTTTTTTAATTTCAAAAAAATTTCTAAAAAAATTTTTTTAAGAAAACCATGGTTGCTTAACAACGTCAGAAATTATTTTTGAAAAATAAAAGAACTTTAAACACGCATATTTAAATAAAATGAACAAAAAACCTCACAAAAAGCTAAGAAAAACTTGTAAATAATGAACAAAAAAGGAACGTAAATTTGGCCAATTTCCTTCTTTAAAATGGCATAAATGCTTGAATTTGTTCATTTATATAATAAATATTTAAATAATTTCCGTCTAGAAGAAGGTAGCAAAAATCAAAAAAATCTAAACTTTTGTTCCTTCTTCTTAGCAAAATTTTTGCTTAAAAATTTTATTTACATAAATATTATTTTTTATTGATAATTTTCAAATTTTTAAAATACATTACAAATATTCCAAAATTCATTTTAAAATTAAGATATCAGAAATAAAGAGATAAAGGGATATTCTTTAATTTTGGAATTCTTTCCAATCGTGTTTAAATATTTTTAAATTTTATAGATATTCACTGTATACCTTTTAAAATATGTATTTACAAATTATTATTATCCATTAAATTTTATTTTAATTAATTAAAAGAATATTTTCTATTTTTTTTCAAATCTTTCTCACCCTCTATTCCTTCCCTTCCCCTCCTTTTCCAAATCCACCCACTCTTTATTACCCAAAATTTCCAGCTTTTCAAACATTGCTTTTTTGGTTTTCAAAACAAAATAAGAAATATATATAAAATATCAATGGCATTTTGTTTTTTTAGAAAAAGGAGTTCCGGTTGGCTTTTTTGCCTTTTTCTACCTCCCTCCAATAATTTCAAAGCTTTGAACGTATAAATACACGCACAAAAGAATTTTTTATTTCCCTTTAACACACAATTTTAACTGAACGCTCCCACGGGAATTTAAAAAAAACAGACATTGAGCCAAATAAAGGGAATAAAATTGAGGAAAAGATGGAGGAGATATATCGAGCTTTTTGTCACTAAAAGAGAGAAAATCAAAAAATTTAAAAGAGAACTTTTTTAAATTGTTCATTTTATTTAATTAAAATGTTTAAAATTTAAATTAATTTTTTATGTCTATTGCCACCAGACAATAGCCTACTCTAATTAAATTTATATTTGACTGAAAACTAAAATAAAATTGTGAAGGAGGAAGCTTTATTTGGATTGGAAATAATTTTACTTTTTTATAAAAGATTTATTTTTTAAATAAATTTAAAAAATCTCTGATCTTTTATTTACAATTTTTTAATTATTCGCTTTTTTATTAAAAAATTTCTAAGTACTTTCCTTAAAAGTTAAAAAAATAAAGAATGGTCGATTGGTTAGGAATTATTGCAATAATATTCTTTTATATTTTAATTTTAATTGTTGGAATTTGGGCTGGTCGAAAAACAGATGAAACAAAAAATGTTATAGAAGGGGGACAAACAGAAGAAGTAAATAAATAAATTTGAATTAAATAAATTGTTTTTGTAGGTAATGCTTGCTGGCAGAAATATTGGTACACTTGTTGGAATTTTTACTATGACAGGTAAAAATAAAAAAATAAATAAACTGTTTTTTAATTAAATTAATTTAAAAAATCTAAGAAAATTTTTAATGAAAAATTTATGAAAATAATTATTTTAAAAGGATATTTTTTTTCTGAATTAGCCAAGCTTGAACAGCTAATAATTAAAGAAATAAAGAAAAAATAAATTATTCAGTATTTTTCAAATTAAAATACAAAAATTCAAATAAATTTCTATTTTGTTCAGCAACGTGGGTAGGGGGTGCTTATATAAATGGAACAGCTGAAGCCCTCTATAATGGTGGAATATTGGGGTGCCAGGCGCCCGTTGGTTATGCTTTGTCTTTAGTTATGGGGGGAATATTCTTTGCCCATCCAATGCGGGAACAGGGTTATGTAACGATGTTAGACCCTTTCCAGGTAATTCTAATTATTTTATTAAATTAGAATTTTTATTTAAAAAGATAAAATATGGGCAGAGAGTTGGGGGATTGATGTTTATACCTGCTCTACTTGGAGAGGTTATTTCTCTTTGGAAAATGATTTTAAAATTTTAATTTTTAAAGGTTTTTTGGTCTGCTGCTATTCTTTCTGCTTTGGGTTGGTTATTTTTTGAATTAAAATTTTAAATTTAAAATAATTCTTACAATTAATTTTTTTAATTTTTAGGCGCCACATTATCAGTAATTCTTGGTAAGAAATTAATTAAAAATTAAATTTAATTAAATTAAAAGGAATGGATATGGCAGCATCAGTTATTCTTTCTGCTTTTATTGCTGTATTTTATACTTTTACTGGTGGCCTTTATGCTGTGGCGTAAGTTTTTAAGCTTAAAATAAAAGGAAAAGAAATGTTAAATGAATAATTATCGAGATTAGGGAATTTAACAAAAATGAGAAAATCTGTCAAGCAAATTAATTAATATTAACTAAAACCCAGCATAAATGGCCAGTAAAAATCTTAGTTAATGGTAAAAAACTAAATTGAAACTTTTAATTTTGATAGGCAGTATTTTTTAATTGGGGATAGTTTATTTTAATGGATAAAATAGATATACTTTTAAAAAAATTTAAAGATATACAGATGTTGTCCAATTATTTTGTATATTTATTGGTTTGTGGGTGTGTATTCCGGCAGCTCTTTTACAAAAGAAAACGAGTGATTTATCTGCAAATCCAACTGGTTGGATTGGGCAAATTGGGGGGTTAAAAGAGAAATTACTTTGGATTGACTGTATGTTGTTGTTAATTTTTGGTGGAATACCTTGGCAGGTTTAGAGAGAGGGAAGAAAAAATAATAATTATTTTTTAATTAAAAAAAGGTTTATTTCCAACGAGTACTTTCTTCCCGAACGTCTAAAGGTGCTCAAAGATTGTCTTTTGTGGCAGGAATTGGTTGCATTTTAATGGCAATTCCTCCAGCAATTATTGGGGCTATTGCGAGAAATACTGGTTAATTAATTGAAAATAAATTTTAAAATTTTCGATTAAAATATCTAAAATTATTTAATTTATTTAAAAATAATTTTATACTTTCTTAAAATTTAAAAGATTTTATTAAAACCTAGATTGGTCATTAACCGAATACTCGCCATGGGGTAACGGAACAAAGACTGTATCAATCCCAGCTGACCAAACATCACAAGTTGTTCCTCTAGTTTTTCAATATTTAACTCCAAAATGGGTTGCTTTTATTGGGTTGGGGGCTGTTTCTGCTGCCGTGATGTTTTTAAAAATATTTTTTTGTTAAAGAATATTTTGCAAATCTTTTAAGGTCTTCAGCTGATTCTTCCGTTTTATCAGCTGCTTCTATGTTTGCCCACAATATTTGGAAATTAACTATTCGTCCAAATGTAAATAAATAAATAAAAAATTATTTTTATAGGAGATTTGTATATTTATTCTTAAAAAAAGAGAAAAAGATATAGGATTTTAAAATTCCTTATTTTAAAGTTGATGAGGTTTCAAAAAAGTTTTTTTTGTTTATTTTTCTCTTTATCTATGTTAACTAGAGGTGCCGTTTTCGAGTCAGGCCGACGTATGAGAGGCATTTCTTCGGACTTGTTTTTATCGGTCCAGGCTGTATGAGTGTTTTTCGGGCCAACCCTAGTGTAGAGTTCTTTCATTCTATCCTGTATTTAAAATATTTTTTTAAATTTATTTTTATTTAATTTATATTTTTAATTAAAGGCTAGTGAACGAGAAGTTATTTATGTAATGAGAATTAGGTGAAATTTTAATTCAAATAATTAAAATAAATAATTTAAAGTATTATTGCTGTTGGTATATTAGCAACAATAATGGCTTTAACAATAAATTCAATTTATGGGTTGTGGTATTTATGTGCTGATTTGGTTAATAAATTAGTTTTTTAATTAAAAAATATTTGTTTTAAATTATAGGTTTATGTAATTCTTTTTCCACAATTATTGTGTGTTGTTTATTTTCATAAAAGTAATACTTATGGGTGTTTAGCTGGATATATTGGTAATTTGTTTAAAATAATTATCTTTTTAATTATTTAATTCTAAATTTATTTCTCAACAAAAATTTTGAATACAAAATATTTTGTGACAATTCACCGTAACTAAAAATCTTTATCTTATGTTCTCAAATTGGGTTATCGTTTTCAACAGATTATTCCGTTAACCCGATAAACCGAACCGAAAATTTCTGGGTTTTCGGTTCAGTTCGGTTTGAGACCGACAAAAATAGTTCATAGTAATAAAAAAATGTTTTGAATAAAAAATATTTAAAAAATAATTCCCTAATAATTTATTGCCTATTAAAAATAAAATTTAATTTAATTAAATATTTATTTTCCAGTTGGACTTATTCTACGACTTTCTGGAGGAGAAGCACTTTTGCATTTTAAAGCAATAATTCATTATCCTTTGTATATATTTATTTAAATTTTCAAAAAAATATTTATTTTAAATTAAAGTTATGACCCTTCAACTTCAATTCAATACTTTCCTTTTCGAACAATGTCAATGCTTGCTAGTTTATTTACAACAATATTTATTTCTAAATTTACAACAAATGCTTTTCTTAATGGAAAATTACCGCCAGAATGGGATATTCTTGGTTGTGTTGTTAATTTACCTACAGATTCTTTACGTTTACCTGACACTAGGTAAAAAGAAAATTAAAATATTTTTTAAATAAAATTAATTATCGTTAACATTCATTGCTTATTTTATAATTCTTTACAAAAAAAGTTATTGCCAAATAATTATATTTTTTTATAAATCTTAGGGGTAACCTAAAATCCTCTTCATTTCAATAAAACGAAATTTGGTAGAATTTGCTTAAATAAAATTCTTTTAAAGTAGTTTCAATGCTTCAACAATGTCAGTAAATAGTAGTGAATTAACTTTGCAACGTCTCTCTAATGGAAATACACAAAATGGACATTTAAAAGGTCAACAACATTTGGCTGTTGCTTCTGTTTGTATGTTTCTATTTTTTAGAAAATTCTGAAATGATTTTTTTAAATCCTTAGCTCCACTTTTACATCCAGATGGAAAAATTGTTAATAATAATCGTGATTATGCTTCTATAAATTAATTTAATTTTAAATTAATTTTTGCGACATTTAAATATATCGCTCACATTTTAAATTTTTTTTAGAATTATTTAAAATTCTCTTATTTTTAAAAGCAAATAATTCTTTACAAAAAATTCCAAAAATAATTAATTCAAGCCACGAAATTTTTTAGAATCTGCTACAGATCACAAACATTGTTTATTTGATCTCTTCTCTATATTTCTTTAAAAATTAGTTTTTCTGATCTCTCAAATTTTCTTTTACAGGTTTAAAATTTATTTTAAATTTATTAATGGATTTATATTTATTTAAAATGTTTTAAAATGTTTATTTTTGCTAATTATTTTTAAATTTAAATCCATTCTCTTTGAAATTAAATTTTGTAGAATATTTTTTAAAAATAAATAAAATTATTTTAAAATTAAATTTCTAGTTAATTTATAAGGTATTTTTTAAATATAAATTTGTACATAGGAAAAATTTTTGAAGGTGTTGGCAATTAAAGAAAAATATTTAGAAGGTTATGGGGATTGAATTAAATTAAAATAAAGTAAAATGTGGAAATGGAGTTTGTATAGTATTTAATCGTCTGAAATACGTATCCTCAAGATTTATTATAAATCTCCTCAACTCAACAAACTCCATTTATTAAAAAAATATTTACAAGAAAATAATATATATATTTTTAATTTAAAAACCGGTATTTCTTTTCCCATCTTTAAAAAATAAATAAATTCTTTTTTCTTATAATATCCATAAAATAAATATTATTATTAACAAATTCCAAGATATTTGAAGTTTATTTGATGATGATTCTATAAAAAATAATTTTTTAGATTTAATTTAGAATTCTAAATTCACCCAAATATTCATTAAAAATTGTTGTCAAATCCAAATTTCCATTTTCATAATTTTCTTGTTCCAAAACATTAGAAGAAATTCCTCCTCCTTCTTCTGTTCCAAAAATTATTTTTGCTTGTTTATCATCATTATCTGTATGTATTACATAAAGAAAAGGGGGATGTTCTGAAGATGTGGGCAGTAATTCTTTTGAATTTTCTTGAGGGGTTGGTTTTTCTTCTTTGGATTTGTGGTGGTGATGGTGGGGATGGGGATGGTGGGGGTGGGAGTGATGTTTGGTATGTCTGTGATGAATTGTTTGGTTATTTGAAGAATTTTGTTGTTTTTGTTGTTCTGATGATGAAATTATTAATTGTTGTTGTTGGTGATTGTCTAATAAATCTGTTTGAAAAATTATTTTTTAAGAGAAATAGTAGGGAATTTTTTATAAAGAATTTTGAGATTTTTTAAACAATTTTTGTTTTTTAAAGAATAATTTAGAAAATAACAATTAATTTTTAATTTAAAAATTAAATATAGGTAACCAACCATTCTCGTTTGAAGAAATTGAAGGTAAAACATCAAATTTTAATCTCATATTTCTCGTAGAACACAAACCTCCTTGTGTATTATTTAACCCATTTAAAGTTCCATTTGATGTTGCTAAAATAATAAGTAATTTGGATTTTGATATGAATTTATTTTCTTTTTTTAATTAATGATTGGTGATTTATTTATTTATTTTCAAAATTTAATTTAATCCAAAAAAAGTTTCTTTCCTATCAGTAAGTTTGAGCTAGAAAGGAGTAATTTTTTCAAAGATTAAAAGAAGGACGAAGACTTTAATTATCAACAAATTAATTTTCAATTTTCCAAATTAAAAAAAAAACAAACTTATCACAAAATAAGAATGTCCAGGTTTAAAAGTAAAGGCTGAGGGTAAAGGAGAAAATTCTCGAAAGACAAGTGTAATGGAGGATTGGCGATCTGGACTTGAACAAACACCTAATTGGCGTTCACCTCCATTGAGAAAACAACGTTCATATGAATCTCTGGATACCTTTAAATAATTTAAATAATTAAAATAAATTTTTTTAGGTAATACCCAAAAAAAATTTTTAACAGCTCTTTTTTCTTTCACTTAATGACCTTAATCTTTTTGAGGGGTCTTTTGTCGGAAAAAAATAAATAAAAAAGAGAAAGATGATAAGCTGAAGAGGCGGGTATTTTTAATTGAAAAAAAAGAAAATTCAAAAAAATTAGAAAAAAAGGATGGGGATAATCTTATAGAGAAACGGGTCAAGGAGTGCCTAATTTGAAGTAATTCTCTTCTTTTCGTATAAAAAATTAATTAAAAAATATAGATTACAAAAGATCTAGTGCGAAAAACTAGTTTTTATAAATATAAATTTTATTTCTAAATAATTATTAAAATTAGAATCTGAACCCGAACCGGGCCTGGACCGGTATTTCCGGGCCCAGTAATTTGATAAAATCCGGGTTTTTGGGGTTTAGCTCCGGAAATCCGACCTGGGGCACTTGAAAGAAAAAACTGTATAACGAGCCCTACAATTTTAAAAAATTAGACCTTTAATAAATTTTATCAAAGATACATAAATTTATATTTTTTTAACACATCTACATTCTTTTTTTATTAATCTCCAGGAATATTATATTAATATTTATTTTAAATAATTAATTAAAATTTTAAATAAAATAATTAAATGTAAATTTAAATAAATATATTTACTTTTTTATTTATAAAATATTTTTATTATTTTTGTTTACTTTATTATTTTTTTATTTCACAGTAGGAGTTTGAGAGAATTTTTTTTGTAAATCCCTTATTATTTTAAAAAAGTTAATTAATGAGAAATTATTTAAAATAAAGTCTAAAAAATTATTTATTTATTAATTAATTAGCATTTTTAAACAAAAAAATACTTTTTTCCCTTTCTTTTAACAAAAATTTTAATAAAAATTATAATTTATATTTATTCATAACACATATTTTTATTTATTATTTTATTATAAATTGCCCAGCAGGTGTTGAAGATAATGAACTGAAAAAGGGAATGAAGCAGAAGGAATTAGGGGGTATAATAATAAATGAAAAAGATGTGAAATTGGATGCTTTTGCCAGAAAATAAAAATAATAAATTGTAGTAAATTTATTACTTCCATAGCAACAATAACAAAATATATATCTTTTAATAAATCAAAGATGGCAATTAAAAACACAAAATTTATTAAATATGAAAGAGATTCTTACTTAATTTTAACTTAAATAAATATAAAAAATCCTCTTAAATACCTAATTGTCTACAATTACTACAACAATCTCTAAAAATAACCACTTTCTAAACATTATCCGAAAATTTTACTTTAATTATTTTTTTGTTTTTTCTTTAAAAATTTTCTATTGAATTAACTAAAATTTAAATAAATTTATTTCAGTCACGCAAGTCATCTATATTAAAACAAATAATCAAGAATATCCCTCACACTTATTCATTTCCATGCCCAATTAGTTAGGAATTTTAAAATAAATTTATTTTATTTTAATGTCCAATCCCCCTCCGTATTTTCTCTTTTATTTTATTTTTGCAGACAACCGCTATACTAGGTCTCAAATTAGTTGTTTGGTTTTGAGTAAACATATATTATTATGTAGAGAAAATAAATGAAACAACCAATTATTTTGAGGGAAAATTGGAAAAATAAAGAAAATTTTTGATAAAAAATATTTTTTATTTTTATTTATTTTTAAATACAATATACATATAAAGGGATTTCGAATATATTATTAATTTTGTTAAAATATTCTCCATGCTCAAAAAAATCTTAACTAATTGGCATAGAGACTAATTGGCCTTGTATTTATTTTCGACCCCTATATATTAAAAAAAACTTTTTAAATTTATTTTTTTCTAAATTTCCACAATTTAAATTTGGCAGAAAATGGCCAAAACCTCCCCTCTCTTTCCCTTTTCATTTTCAACATAAATTTTTGTTAAAGAAAATCGGATTTCATTTAGAAAAGAAGATAAGCGAGAGAAAATGTCCTCCTTCCCCTCCCTAGAGGAAAAAAAAGAATTAGAAAATAAAATTAAATAAATAAATATACAAGTATTTATGTATGTATGTATTTGTTAGCTAATTTATGTGTTTATTTATTTATTTATTGTCAATAACAAATTGGCCAGAAAATTAAAAAGTTTAAATTTAATTTGAAGAACTGCTGTCCTCCTCCTCTTTATAAGAAAAATAAGAATAATTGACTTAATTGTTTATTTAATTATTAGATAAGGTTTTAACAAATCATGCTTGAGTCTATTAAGATTTTTTAATTTTTATTTTTTTAATTTATTAATTTAGTAAAGAAATTCCCCCCTTTTAATTTTTATAAAAAATTTTATACAATTTTTAATGAAAAGCTTTTGTCAAGCAAATTGATTGTTTAGAAGGAAGTATAGAAGAGGAAGGAATATTGGAAGATTTTACTACAAAAACGGAAGTAAGTTAAAGAAGAGAGAGAATTTTAGAAATTGTTTTTAGAAAATTGTAAAAAAATAATTTTGAAATTTGGTTGTAATATTTTTAAAAATGTAAACACGGAATAAATTTAAAAAATTATTTTTGATATTTTTTGAAATCTGAGAAAGTATAAAATTTAAGAGATTTTTATAATTTTTTAAATTAAAGTTAGTCTATAAATTTGTGAAAAAATATGGAAATTTATTAAAACTTTAAATTTTAATTTAAAGTTTTGTTATTTAAAAATAAAAAAACTTGCCATAAATAATTTAGAATGTTCATATTCATTTGCCAAAGTAACAGGTGGAGGACAAAGTAATGTTATTCTATCTAATAAATTTACTCTCTTTACATGTTCTGTGTTGCTCATGTCAAATCTACAAAATAAATTTTTATATATTTATTTTAAATTAAAATATTATTTCCAATTTAATTATTAATTCCTGCTGTGAAATTTATAAATATATTAACACGGAAAACTAGAAAACAAAAATAAAATTCTAGTTTTTAACAAAAACAACAATACTTACATAGCTGGATATCTCTTTTAATTATTAAATAATAAAAACAAGGTCAAAACAATGAGAGAATTTTTAAAATTTAAATAATTTAAAATTAATTTAAAATAATTAAACTATTTATT